ATTAAAAATATATTACAATTTTCGCAGAAACTGTACAGTCTCTCTTCAAAGTTGACACAAGAGTAATGAAAACCGCCATAATAAATTGGTTTCGTCATGCGAAAGACAAAAAAGATCAAGGAGAAAGAGAACAACGAGGTGAAGGAGGACAAGAACAGGATCAAGAATAAGAGGATCAGCAGGCCAATCTCTCTCTCTCTCTCTCTCTCTCTCTCTCTCTCTCTCTCTCTCTCTCTCTCTCTCTCTCTCTCTGTCTGTCTGTCTCTCTCTTCATTCTGCCTCTCTCGTCCAGTTCCTCTCGTCGACTCTTCGGTGCCTTTCCCTCCGTTCTCCTCTTCAATATGACGTTTTTGGATCTTTTATCCGGCACCAGGGATTCCTATGACGCTACGTTACGCCGAGGAAACGAGTTTCAAAGATAACGCGCGATAGTTCGCACTGTGCATGAAACAAAATTCGTAGATTACTACCTGACTAGAAAGTTTCAAGATCTCTTCTACTTGTAAATAATCCGCTAGGCTTTTATAAAAGATGTTAGCCATTGTTTTGCCAAATAGAAGCTCCTACGATGAAACTCGAATACGCTCCTTCCGGAGTGCAGTTCTATTATTTTCCATTACGACAAGCGGGACGATTTAAACACGGAGCTAACGAGGGTCGGTCGCGTGGAAGGATGTCCTTCGCACTTGAAGTAAGCGCGCGCCGGGACAGGTCTAAAATGAAGAATGCCTCCGTAATGGCGTTACAGTTTGCGAACGAGCGACGGCCGGGGATCTGTAGCGTTTTGGTACACGGCGTATAGCACCGTGGCGGGAACACCGTACCACGCTATGTGTGGTTCTATAAATCCACCGGGGCTTACTGGCGCAAAGCCTCCCCTGCGGCTTGCGCGCGGCACTCTCACCTCTTTCCCCATGTGACCTCCTATCTGCCCGCTCTCTTCCACCCCCGTGTCCTCCCGCCCCTCTGCCGTGTGCCTTTTTCGCGCACACTTGTTCCGCGCTTTCGCCGTCTCGCGACGCCGGCCACTCGCCGGAACGTCCCGATGAAACGCAAGCAGGCCGCCGGGATTTCAAAGAGCATGTCTGGCCGCTCGCTTGATCCGTTTCGAAGTCACTCGGACTTGGACTGCGCGCGATCCGTCGTTTGTTCGCGAATCAAGCCGCGGAGACGCCGCGCCGCGGCAAGAGGATTTATACAGCGCTTACGGATTTGCGAACTTTCTAACGGTCTACTTTCTTCGACGCCGTTTCGTCGCAACGAAAAGTGCCTTTTTTTCACAATCTTACGAAAGTACCCTTGGAGAAATATTATTCTTTCACGTATTTTGTCAAATTGTCATGGTAACAGATGATCGTTTTAAATCAGTCAAAACACGGTTGCGCACGAAATTCTAATTATAAATTCCTAGAGTTTAGAGAATTCCTAGACCAGTCATTCATAGATTTCATTATTTCTTTAGATATTTCTTCAGTAATACCGCCACGTTTATAACGGCGTGATATTAATTTCAAGTGTGTATTTATCTTATAGTTTAATTATATTTTCTGGCCTGGTCTGGATTATAGTTTTTGGTATATAGATTTATACAAAATAAGAGCATAAAGACGGGGTTAACGTTTTTTTAAATGAAATTAATTAACGTTTATTAACGTCAAAAACATCTCGTTATTTTCGTCTTTATCTTGTAGAAAACGTTCGTGTACTTCACTAATACAAGAGATATCATCCGTGGTCAGCAGATTGTTGCCTTTGTAATCGATATCTTCGATGCTTGAATGCACGCATTGTGAGCGTCTGTTACTGCTTCATTCATCGCGAGCTCGAATTTTTGGGCGTCGCTGCAATGTTGCTGTTACATTTTTCGCTTTTCCGAGACGATTCTTAAGAAAACAATTCTCGAGTCGTTAATGTTTTGCAACGTACATACGCAGTCTGTGCACTCGACGTGAGTCAATCGCGATTATACAAATTCTCTAGAATAAAATTAAATCTAAATCTATATTTTCATTCAGCTCCCGTCGACTTTTAATCACTTATTATTTTATTCAATAATTTAAATGATTAAAATGAGTTGTTAAATAAATCTAACAACTTTAGAAGCAAAGTTTTCACTATTCAAATCGTTGTCTTGTTATTCGAGATGCATTTCTCACACAAGTGCAGCTCGAATAACAACATTTTTATAATAATTCTACGCGAGATAAGATTTAAATGTAAATTGTAATATCAATTCTCTTACCCTGACTCGAGCTTCCGTAAGATTCGTACAGCAAGCTATCTCTTCTCTAGTTGACATGTCTGGGTATCGGTTTCTCATGAACGTCATCTCTAGATTCTGAAGTTGATGCTGCGTAAAGTGCGTCCTTTGCCGCCTTTGCCTTTTGTTCTTCTTGCCATCCTTGTCGTCGGTATCGTTGACTCCGGAAGAAACGACGCCACCAGCGGCACCCAATTCGTGCTTCACCTCTGGTGGTGTTCGTACACCTAAAAAGTGTTAAGGTATCATATCTTCGATAGCGTTTCGAAGTTATAGAGCTCATTATAAATTAAGTATTTCCTAAATTCCGCGGAAACATCAATTAGAAAAATATTGGCAACATAATTCTTAATTTTCAAGTAATATATATTTAGAAATGATAATAAATTCCTGAAACAAATACCGTATAAATTTAAGTAACGTCTGTGTCTGGAGATTAATTAAAATGAAACTACAATATACTAATATGAAAATTAATGAAAGCTATAATAACCTTTTTAATTAAAAATAATTAGCTTGCTGATTCGCGTAAAATTCGCGCATTTTAGCCGATAACTGTGTTTACATTCGTATCGATTTGTTATCCCTTTTTGATTTTTACAGCTCACAATCAGTGCTATTGATATTTACTGCCCAACTCTCTCTCTCTCTCTCTCTCTCTCTCTTGGTTTCTTACACATTAATACATATAATAATCTAGCAATTTGATTATTAATGCAATATTTTGATTTTTATAAATTAGAAATTATTTAATTACTTTTGAAATAAAATTTTGAATAATTAATTTTAACTAAAAAAGAATTATTAAATTTGATGTTAAGTCTAAATTTGAAGAAAAAGTTTATCTTTGTTTCAATCGATAAATGGAAATTAATTTGTTTGTAATTACTTTTATTTTTATCGTATTTTTATATTTGTCGGAAAGCAATATTTTGAGATTTTAATGTAAAGTAAATTGTTATCATATTTTTATTTTTTATAAAAATTACAATTTTTGATTTAATTATAATCCGCGGTGAAAACAATCGTCAAATATAAAATTGTTATTTACCGAAACACATATCTCACGTAAAATATTCGTTTATATTAAAGCAAACGTCGAAGTAGCAGGAATCAGATTATTGCAATGTTTACGAGCGATAATTATTCAGTTAGCAATGCTTAGAATGCTTTAAATATAGGTATGTGATATCATGCTCTGAATTTTTCATTAATTCCAATATAAAATACATGAGTAATTAGATCTCACGAGTTATCTAATAATGATTCTAACGAAGAGTCGTATACCGATCATTTAATATTAATATTTAATCGGAAATACAAGATGCATAATATTCTGCGTACATTTATTTTATAATACACGGAGAAAATTTTCTTTTAAAATTTACCCTGAAAATCATGTAATCGTGGGACAACGTGGCATTTTGAAGAACTTGATCAGAGTTTGTGAAATTTTACCATACATTTTACTAGTAAAACTTTACCATACATTTTACTAGTAAAATTATTTACTAGTAAAATTATTTACCATATATTTTACTAGTAAAATTTTACTAGTAAAATGTATGGTAAAATTTCAAGAAGCTCATAAAATTCTCCAGAATGCCAAATCGTCCCACGATTACATGATGTTCAGGATAAATTTCAAATAAAATTCTCTCTCTCTCAGGGGTATACGTGTATAGTAACGAATTTTTGTTTTTATTGCGCCCCACTATTAGTCGTGGTTTCATTGTAACGTTGTGTACGTACACACAAGGTCACCGCGTTACCAGTCGTATCGCGAGTCCCGAGACGGCAGGTACGGTCGCGCGTGCCGTTCCATATGCTGTCTCATAACTTCCCGAGACGCGACAAGTACCGAGTGCCGCTAAACGCTACCATTACTTAGGACTTCTTATTGAATACATTAACGTACGTGGTTTTAATCTCGCGTTGAATATCTCGTAAACACAAAGCGAAAATTATTTATCGAAGCACGTATTTCGTAATTTCTCCATTAAAATAGAAAGTAAAGCCAAAGGAATTATAAGCAGTTATTTCGTCGTAATGACTGCGGACGATAATAATCTTTTCAATAACGCTTACAGTTGATATATCTCGCGTTGTATATATTGCACTTCTGTACGTCTTTATCTCATATTGAATTTCGATTATATTCTTGATTCCTCGCATCTTAATAAATTATTGAACTCAATTTTACAATTTGATTCATGTCGGGATAAAAATGCCAGTGTCATTTTCAAGTTTTTTGATCGTTAATGAAACTTCGCGAGTTATACGGAACGAATCGACTCCGAGTCGACCGGTGTCGCGACGCGTTTTAGTCGCAATCCCATATTTTAATAAGGGATTAATTATCTAACCAGCTATGCGTAGCATAAATTCGCCGTTTGTACAGCGCTCAACCGTTAAAACCCTCCGTCGTTAAAAATTCGTCCGTTGCGCTTATTTACAAGACAGCGCGAGTGTTGAATGGATTGTAGCTTTGTGCGATAATACTTTTTTCGTATTATCCTCCCGTCGCAGCGTAGCGTAGTGTACGCGTTACGTGTGATTAATGTCAGGAGTGCCGTGCAAAGTGTCGCGCGATCGTAATTAACCGTGTCTCTCGCGAGTGAGTGTTGCGTGCTGCGACGCAGTTACAACTTTGCTGCTACGCATTGGTGAGTGATAAATTATATTTTACCCCAAGTTAAAGTAACGGATCTATATCAATATTGTTTCAGATATGCGTAAAAGAGATGCAAGTAAACGTACAAGAACGTATCAAAATATGTCAGATTAAAAATAATATGACAGATAAATATAACATTTTATAGATCCATTATTTTGAAATAAGTGGGCTAATATGTAAGTTCGTACACTGAAAAAAATTTCTGGTTGAATATGGACGAATCAGATAATTCCTTTAGGATTTACCAGAATTCCTTTAGGATTTACCAGAATTTCTGTAGGATTACAGGAATTCTGGTAAATCCTAAAGGAATTCTGGTAAATCCTAAAGGAATTATCTGATTCGTCCATATTCAACCAGAAATTTTTTTCAGTGTACGCGCGAATTCTACGCAATACCAAATTTCATCAAGAGAAGTTTCATTAAACAATTAAACTGTTATAATTTCACATTTTTGTATCAGAATTTCAATTTTAATTATTACTTACAGTTTTTACTAATTTGACATTTAGAGAAAAGTTCTCTAGTATGAGATAGGATTCTAATATGAGATAGCAGGTACTCAATGTCCAAATTCAATCACAAGTCTTTTTTCGCAACGATTGCACGATCTAACAACCAATTCTCCACTAAACAGACTTCACTCCAAGAGCAATAAATTCATGATGAAACCAACAGACGATGCCATTTTATTTAGCAGAAATTCCGCTATTCCATATTAGGAGCCTATCTCATAATAGGGGACTTTTCTCTATTACTCACAATTAGTAAAATTCTGAATCGTTCTTTCACATACAAAAAAATTTTCATTAAATTTTGAATCGCGTGTCTTTAGACAGGCTGTTTTTTTTTATTTGTTGAACGGGGTGAAATACGCTCGTACATCTATGCGAGCAGCTTGTCACAAAGTTTGATGGACTCTAGCGAGAAGCATACGCGGGAACCGATGTCTCTGCCGGTATTAGAACGGACGGAGTGAGATCCGCGGCGGAGGTTTGTTGTTAACCGGGAACATAAGACTCCGGGAGATATTTCAATTTGCGGGGATTTGGGGCGCGGGTGAGAGTGTTCCAGCTAAGTGCCGAACAAACGTGCAAACAAACGTAAGCGACCTTTTCCGCTCCTCCTCCCACTCGTCGCCATCCGCCATTCCGCGCATTCGTTTCAGAATTCCGTGTAAACGCGATAGGGAATGGCGTACGAATGGCCTCTTCTCCCTCTCTCAAGTAAATTTTGATTCGAGCAAATACGTCTCTCCCGTCACTGAATCTAATGTCGAACTTTGAATTACGTGTGCTTTGGAATACGCGAGATACCACATATTTTATATCGTTTGTGAAAAGACGCGGTAAATTAATACAATCGTTTGACCAGATTTAATATAAATGGGAATGCGAACGATAACCGGTACAAAAGCCAACACAGTTTTTTATAAACTTCAAGTTTGTTTGGTCGTATCTGGCAATTTTTATGTTCAAAGCTCGCAACGTTTCGACCATGGATTGTGGTCCTTTTCAAGGAAACTGACTGAGAAAAATCATGTGTTAGATTTATGTGTATTTCGGTGATCCGAACAGGATTGTATTTGTGGTCACACACAGTTGGAAAATTTGTGTTTTCTTGTTAAAGAAAATGCCGGTTAAAATTTTTGTGTTAAATGTTTAACACATTCATCTGTTAATTTAACATATTGCTCTTGTGTCAATTGACCTCGATAAAGTTATTAAAATACTTGAAAAGAAATGTTAAAACAACACAATGCGCACTTATTTTTTAATCTTACACAATACATATGTTCTATATTATTAGTAACAAGATTTATCTGTTAAAATTTACAGAATAAGATGTTGATTTTATTCTATACATAAGTAAGAGTGATGTCAAATTGTCATTTGACTTATTGTTAGTACATTTGTAAAAATTACATTAAAAAGAATTCATTTTTTCATAAAAAAATATGTTAATTTTATACAAACTTTATTTCAAATTATTTTGAGATTTGCATTTATTTTGTGTTAAAGTATTAACAGAGTATTAGCGTGATTATTTAACATATCCATATTATGTTTAATCGGCACAAAAATTTGTGTGGACTGTTTGGGACATGTAATATCTGTGAAATTTAACACAAATTTTTCAACTGTGATACATTTTATGTTATTCTCGCACAGTCGAAACGTACCTTTTCGAATATCTGGCCTGTGAGATGCGTTCGTACGGTTCCTCGGCTGTCCGGTGGAGTATCCACCGGAGGGTGTCGTGGGGGTCGCCCCCGGTGTACTAGGATTGCTACCACCGGGGGTGTGAGCGCCATGACCCGCGTCGAGCCTCGCCAGACCCCCGTTGGTTTCGTCCCCGAAGTCACTCTGCGCCCAGACTGCAAAACACATCACACCCTCTTGCAACATCGTCTAGGCGTACAGTAATCCTTATTTATTCTTGGCTGCAGCCGCGCACGTTAATTGGAGGGTTTCTTTTCGCGTTTCCGCTAAGTCATTCACAGGACGAATATGCCATTTCAGATTTAATCAACCGCTAAACAAGCAGCTAAGTTAATAATTGGGCAATTACCGTCGCATGAATCTTTATTGTTAATATCACTGTTAATTACAATCCAATGTCGAATGATCCGATAAAAAAACACCGGATTGCCTTTCGTCCCGAATCGTTGGGAAACTAATTTTAACTCTCAAGAAATCTTTTAATGGCGCTTATATCGCGACACACTGCTATTTTAGAGATTTTATATTGTAATTCCTCATAATGGCAATGCACATGTCGCATGAATGAGTCAATTAATAACCGTACGTTACCTCGCCCACCCAAATAAAAGTTATGCTGTGGCGAGCCGCCCCTCAATCAACGACTATTTATCTACTGACGGAGTAGACGCGATAAAAAGACAAAGACGGATTCTCCGCTGCTCCTTTTCACACTTGGTCGTCGATGTGTGCTCCTTACATGCGTGTCCGTGTGTGCGCGCGCGTTGCCACGCGGGGCGGGCTGAGAAGTTAATCGGCTCGGTCGTTTAGTTTCGCTCGGTTTAGTTATATTTGGTTTCCACAGAGCGGAGCAAAGAGGAGGGACATAGCTCACAATTAGTCGGCGCATAACTCGGGCTGATTTAGTGCCGCGGAGCCTACTACGAACCACCGCGTGTGTCATTCTACCTCGATACCGCCAAGTGTGCGCACGTGTTCGTACGAAATAAAAGAGACTCCTTGTGCGATGTTTTCAGTGGCGGGGATCTCGAGTGTACTTTAGCTGAAGTTTTCAAATTAATTATTTTTGCCGTTGCGCGAAAAGATAGGATCCTGGTATAGTTGAGCAATTTTTACGCGTGGAAAATACTCGTCCAAACCAGAATAGTTTCAAATTCAATAGGAAAACTTTAGCACTCTTGCCCGTCAATGATTCGAGATACGATTACATATTTTTGTGATTATAAGCGCTTTTTAAATATTTACACAAACTCCAGTTAATCTTCCGAACTAGCTCGTTTTCTTCCAACTTATAATAAAATAAAGAATCGATTCTATAATTGATAATAAAAGTATGAGAATCAAGGATGGAGGGACGTGAAAAATAAGAGTGGAAACAGTTCGTGGAAAAGTTCAGTCGAGTTTTCACTCGCGCCTATCTCAGGCAAAGTTATGACATCTCGGCAGACAACTCAGTTAGTACAGGTTTATCACGGCACCGTTTCGCTGTGCACGCGCACGAATACAGGCGTGAGATTTTTTTGGCAACGGAAGACGCACTTGTCGGCGTGTACGATATTTTAGCGGACGTGCGCGTTCTGTAATTTACATGCTAGCGGGTTATGAGCGCGCGACGTAATTGAGGAAATCGTCGAAAGTGTTGACGTGCACCAAACAGTTGTTGACGGTGTCAAATGCTTCCTGCAGTGCTGATATCTCCTTGTTAATACTTTCATTGCCAAGATTTCGGCAAGAGTTCTGGGAGGCCCACGGTCGAGAAATGACATTTTATAAAAATACACAGAGCCAGATTATAACATAAAATGTACCAAAAGACTAAATAAATTGGAACAAATCTATACAAGTATAATGGAATTAAAAACTTCTGTTTTTAAATCTCGCGTATTATTTGAACAATATTTTGTTTTCTCTTAGAACCAGTTTCACAAACGTCAGTTAACTGCTAACCGAGTGTTAATTGATTCTCTGTCTCTTCTTACTCTGGGGAAAAAAAGTCAGTTGCAACCCTAATCAATTCTCTCAATTAGTTCTGTCGATATTCAGTAACGCAAAGATAATTTTCACTTAAGTGGCAATAACCGAAATGTTAAGTTGCTTAACGACATCAAAAAACGGTCAAAATTTTTCCCAGAGTAGAGTTACGAACAATCCAAATAATTCGATTACTAATGGTGGGTCCCAAAATGGGTTATAACTGTCTTTTTTTTCCCAGAGTAGAGACCAAGATAGAAAAAGATAGGGAGTTGGCTGAACTCTGGTTAACAGTTAACTGTCGTTTGTGAAATTGGCCCTTGTCTTTATAAATGTATAGTAACATGTTTCTTTACCGGGCAAATAAAGTCATCACTTATAAACGGGGGACGAGGTCCTTGCGGAGACTCACGCGTCCAGACATGAGATCGCAGTCGAAGTATTCATGCCAATTCACCAGAGGACATATTTAGTATTCAGTAATAGCAACTGCTTTGCGATTTATGTTCTGAATTCACGCAGCTACGTTGACATAACTTTTTATGTTAAAAATCGTGTGCGAATACCGTCCTCTCAAAGACCGACAGATTTCTCTCGGGAGCATCCTGTATTTATAGCTCGACTATAAATTCGTAGAGAGAGATACCTATGGGGGAACGTGGTGAAAATCGCTGTGCCATGGAAAATTGATATTGACGAGTATCCCGACTTCGCGTCGTATAAATCAATCTCGCCTGGACACCGTCGCGCGATCATGCGTGCGAATACTTGTCACGCGTTCGCTACAGCCGCGCCGTGCATGTTTATACAATCATTACTGTTATTTATCGCATTGGTAGTGGTGATTTTGGTATAATTTCGGTAGGTTCGGATCCCGATGCTGCGGAAATGAATCCGTACATCTATCCGATTAACGATTGGCGTATAAGCGTTCGAGGTATATTTAGAAACTATACACTGAGAAAAATGTCCGATTAAATATAATCGGATAATCTAATTTCATAATAACAAACGGATATATCCAATTAAATTGTATATCCGATGAAAAATATGATCGGTTTTTCAATCAAATTTCATCGGATGTATTCATAATTTAATCGGAAAACGTAATTGGAAAAATTAACCGTCGTAAACACTATTTAATATGTTTATCCGAAGACAATTTTTCTCAGTGTACAAATCCACGACACATGGAAAAAAAGTAGCTACCGTAGCTAAAAATTGCACGTGGTAATTAAATTTCAGTTATAAAATATGGACAGCTAATATTTATTTATGATAGCTACACTGAGAAAAATTTTCATCGGATAAACATATTAAATAGTGTCTCCGATGGTTAATTTTCCGATTACGTTTTCCGATTAAATTATGGATACGTCCGATGAAATTTGATTGAAAAACCGATCATATTTTTCATTGGATATACAATTTAATTGGATATATCCGTTTGTTATTACGTAATTGGATTAACCGATTATATTTAATCCAACATTTTTCTCAGTGTAATATTTTGCTACTGTACCTGTTGTATTAGGTGCAACAGCAAATTGTTTGCTGTGCTTTAGAAATTTATAGTTATGGCAGCAAAATATTTTTAGCAAATCATAATTAGTTATGATAGCGAAAATGTTTTTTCAGTGCAGTGATGGAACTCGTTGAAACGAGTTTCAACACATTGTTTCTATAAATAATTAATATTTTCTTTCGCTGCGTTTTCACACGTAAGCAATTCGTGTTTAAACGTCGAGCCCATTGCAAGCCGTACCGATTTCAACCCCGCCTTTAGCAAATACGTTTTCTCGCGGGTATCGTATAAATACGCGAATGCGACTCGCGCGCGAGATTGCGACTCGCCCGTCGGAATTCGTGATTAATTCACCGGCCGACGAAATGCGAGAGCAGATGAGCCGTGTCGACAACGGGATTACGCAAGACGCAAAATGCGGTGCAATTTCGAACGAGAGACGAAGTTTAACTGTGCCGCGCGTCGCGGAAATGCTTGGTGTCTCTTGAAATTTATTCCCGAAGTTACGCGCAGTTCAACAGAACTGGCTTTTTCCGAAAAACGATTGAGGAATGCGTTTGACATCGGCGTGTAGGTTTTGTCAGATAGTATCTAATCTTCAGACAAATCAATTAATTTAGATTGGATTATGTATGACACAAGCCACGTATTTCTATGAAGAGCGTTTTCCTACACTGAGAAAATTTTTTATCGGATAAACAGATTAAAAAAGAATCCGATGGGTAATTTTTCCGATTATCCCAAAAAATGCATGCATGTTCTCTGGGACGTTTTCCGATTAAATTATAGATACATCCGATGAAATTTATCCGATGAAATGCAGTTACTGATGAAATTTGATTGAAAAACCGATCACGTTTTTCATCGGATATACAATTTAATCAGACATATCCGTTTATTATTATGTAATTGGATTATCCGATTATATTTAATCGGACATTTTTCTCAGTGTGAGAAAATAATGATCTAATGATTTGAAGATTATGGCTAATCCATTCAAGTACTCATTTCCGGAAAATAAATTGTCACACGCGACAACGTAAATTATGTAAATTAATATGTTTGTATTATCTTTTACATTTTGCTTTCTCGGATCTTGGAAGTTAAATAAGAACACGCGAGCATCCTTTCAGAAAGTTTGAGGATCTTCATCTGTTTACCACGAAGGTATTTAAATGTTAACCGTGGGATACGTTCGCCCTCCTCGTTTCGATAAAGATAATGTATACCGACAGAATCTCCTACACACCGCTGCTTGTATATTATTTCAAGATTAGAGTTAATCACATAATCTACATCGTGATCTGACTAACACTACTCGAGCGACCTACTCGCTAAGTAAAATTTATAGACCGTCATTTCTTACGCTTTAATATGTCGCAAATGCATATACGTGCGGTGCATCAATTTGCTTCGCGTTGTGTTGTCAAAAGTCATCTATGTTTAAATAATCAAGTAATTTTTGTCCATTTCTAATTATTACCCGAACCGAATTAATGCACCGTAATGTACATTTGGTATCTTTGACGACCCTCTATTGAATTCTCATTATACTTTGTCTCTTCGAAAGCTCACTTTACCAGAATAATTAATCGTGCGCATACTTTGTATTTTAGAGTATATGGGTAACTTTAATGCGCAGCCCAATCAGTTTGAAAA